GCGGCTTCCTGGGATTTCAGGTGGGAAGGACGGTGACTTTGGCATGGAAATGACGTTAAAATGCATGTTTGGGGGTAAAGAATTGCAGGTTTATAAGTGTTTGGATGGGCTGGGTTCATAAAACCGGGCTCAGCCCGAGCGAGAACGTGTTTTACTCTCCTTGCTCAGCAATTCTCCCCGGTTTTAATTTACTTCCAGCTTTGCAATACTCATGGAAATGGGCTGCCCTTCTCAGCCGGGTGTTTGTGTGGGAAGTGCAAAACTGGGGAATATCTGCCCTGCATCTTGTTTTGTGGTAAAGCTGAGCCCTCGTTTGCGGGCTGATTATTCACCTCCAGCAGCGAAGTCTTGAATAAGGACTAAACATCACACACACACTCCCCTTAAGCAGTGTCCTAATGACTAAAACGAAGCCTAAAATGTCCACTGGCCTCAGGAGGCACCATAATTACTGCCCTAAATCACACGAGTCACCACAGTCTTCCCAAGCAATTAAGGGGGTGCGCGGTGACGAAGATGAAAGGCACGGCGATGCCACAAAGGGGAGGGGAGAAAACAAGGGCAGTAGCAAGAGAGATTTTGGAACAAACAACAACAAGAGTCGATCAGTTTTGGTGGGTTTTGCATGCAAAACATGGCTCATTAAGGAATCTCATGCATGATAAGTATCTCTGGTCTGCAGGCAGCTGGACCATGGTATAAAAGGCTATAGAGCACAAGCCTCTTCCATCCTCTTCTCTTGCCTTATCCTCCCAGGTGAACAGGTAAGTCTGAACCTCCCCAGTGCCTTTTTAAATGCTAAACTGCCACTTTGATGACTACTTTTATTTTATTTTATTTTTGGTTTTTCTTAATTGTTGTTGTTGGTTGTTCTTGGTTCTTTACAAATATTGCTGGTTTGTTTTGTTTTGTTTTGTTTTTACCTCCAGGGGGAATTTAAAAAGGTTTATTTGTACCAAAAAGAAAGGCTTTATTTACCTGTGGAGCAGAGTGTGTTGAGACAGGACTTGGAGGATTCTGGCAATATTATCTCAAAACAAGCAGATTTATGCTGCATTTTAGAGGGTTTTTAGGACCCCTGAGGTCTTGGATAGCCATGAACTGGGTTGGCTTCTGCAGAGGGACCCCACCAAAGGATGGGGAACCCCTTTGCTGGTTGGGCTTGGACACACTTCCCATGACTGGCATCACAGTTCAGAGGCCAATCCCTGAGCAGCCTCCCAGAAAAGAAAAGAAAACCTCCAAAAGGTCAAAAAAATGCCACTTCCACCCGTGGCTTTTGGTGCGATGGGCGGTGACCTCCCCAACCACCTCTGTAGGTACCCGAACATCTCTTACCTTCTTAAGTGGCTTCTGTGAACTTAATACGGGTTGTAAACAGTTTTTAACTTTCTCCCCTGCGTTTCAGCCCTGCCTCTGCCCTGGAAACATGTCCTCCTACGACCTGTGCTGCCCCACCACCACCAGCACCTCCTGCGGGCCCACCCCGCTGGCCAACAGCTGCAACGAGCCCTGCGTGAGGCAGTGCCAGGACTCCACCTACGTGATCCAACCCCCTCCCGTGGTGGTGACCCTGCCCGGGCCCATCCTGAGCTCCTTCCCCCAGAACACCGCCGTGGGCTCCTCGGCCTCGGCCGCCGTGGGCAGCGCCCTGAGCGAGGAGGGGGTGCCCATCAACTCCGGGCTGGGGGGTTTGGGGTACAACCGGCCCTACCGGCGCTACAACGCCTACAGGAGCGGTTTGGGTGATCCCTGCTAAAGCAGGAGGGAGCAGCGGGGTCGTTGGAGTCATGGGAACGTTGGGAGCCGCGGGAATTTCGGGAGCCAGGGCCGTAATTTGCAGGGCGCGGCGCTGAGCACCCACGACCCCACCTGAGTGGAAGGGTCAGGGGGGGCTTTGCATCTCCTCAAATCAGGCCCTTTATTTTTTTTTTTTGCTTTGTCTTCTTCTTCGATCCTTTGTATTTCTGATGAAACATTTTATGGGTTTGTGGGGGTTCTTTTCGACTGCTGGAAGTGGGGCTTTCTTCGCCTCAGTGAGAAAACAAACCCAGGATGAAAAGCCATGTTAGCTCTTGCCTTCGAGCCTAGAAATGTAAACTTACACTTTGTACCTTTTTATTCTGCTTTTTTTTTTTTTTTTTTTGCTCTCATTAAAGTTATGTTGCATCACCACCTGAGTCTTTCTGCTGTCGATTTGGAAAACTTTGCAACCTTTTAGCAAAAAGCTCATATTTTTTTGGGCAGAATTTCTGGTTCTTCTGGTTTGTACTTTGAAAGGGGGTGGACAGAGGTGCTTTTGGACACTCCAGGGCTGCAGATGTCCAGCCTGGAGAAGAGAAGCTTTGGGGTGACCTCATTGTCACACACTCCTCAGCCTGGGTGGCACCAAGACATTGCTCTCCCAGCAAGGTGGATCTCACACCCAGCGCTAATTGCACTCTCCCAATTTGAAATATAATTAAAATCTGCATTTGAAAAAAAAAAAAATCCCTCAAACACATTTGGGAAATAAAGAAAACCCACCCGTTTTGGGTGTGTTGTTTTGCAGAGGTTCTGGTGACTAAATCACTTCTTCCCTCAAGCATAAATGAATTTTGGTGTTGTTTTCTACTGTTCCCAGCACAATGACCACACTACACCTGGTTCTTTGCAGGAATACTCCAGATGTGCATCCATTTAGCGAGCTACATTTATTTTTTGACAAAAAAAAAAAAAAAAAAAAAAAAAAAAAAAAAAAAAAAAAAAAAGGAAATTATAAACTAAGATGCCAAACCCAACCTCAAACTTCAGTGATTTTAAAGTTCTTTATACCAGCATTTGAACAACATTAGCAACGAAACGAGCTCCTTTCAGGTACCTTGAGGAGGACATACCTACCTGTGCTGGAACACCTTTGCCTTCAGGGGAGTTATTTGAGCAGCAGGAGTGGTGAAGAGCAAATCACAGGCCCTGCCTACACCAAAAATCCTCTCAGATGACACGGACAACGTGCCCTGTTCTTGGGATGAGAGACAACTTCCAGCCAGGAACGAGCAGTGGGTGCAATAAATCAGCAGTGCCAGGCAGAGACAGCCAGCCTGGCCCAATTAAACCCCCTTCAGCTCCAGGGACATCTGCTGGCTTAGACAATCTGCCACCCAGAGGGATCTGGAGATGGTGAAGTTCAACAAAGGGAAGGGCAGAGTCCTACACTGGGGTTGGGGCAGTTCCAGGAATGAGGAGCTCAAGGGAGGGGATTCTCAGCCCCTGCTCTGCCCTGGACAACTCTGGTGCCCCCAGCAGAAGGACATGGAAGTGCTGGAGCAAGAGCAGAAGAGCCAGGGCCATGTTGGGCAGGGCTTGGAGCAACCTGGGCTGGTGGGAGATGTCCCTGCCCGTGGCAGGGGGTGGAACAAGATGACCTTTAAGGTCCCTCCCAACCCAACCCATTTCCATGATTCCAGGATTCCAAACTGCAGAGCCTTTGAGGGCAGCAACAGAGTTCTCCCCCAAAGGTCCTGGATCCTTGGCTGGACCATCCCAATAACTGGGGGAACCATCCCAATAACATGTCCCCAATAATGGGAACAATCCCATCTGTCCCATCCCTGAGCACAGAGAAACAAGAAAAGCAAGGGAGGGCTTGAGCTTGCAGGAACTTCCAGAGCCTCAAAGCCTCTGAGGCACCTAATTCTTTGTAATGAGCTAATTAATTACGATTCAGAACGAACTGCAGGTGACACTCCTGCCAGGGAAGCTCCCACTTTGTGTCAGCTCCTCACTACATGGGTTTTGGGGTCACTTTTGTGCCTGGAGACTTCCCCCAGGGGATTACTGTGAGTAAACTCCTGTTTCAATTTTGATGAAGAATCCCTTTTTTTTTTTTCAGAAGTTCAGTCACTCTCAGGTGTCTCAGGAGGATGTTCTCACATTATGCAAGAAAGCTTAATTATAACCTTAATATTCAGGCCTATCCTTGATTATAAAAGTCTGTGAACTTCTAATTTGCTCAACTTTAATGCATCTCAAAGATCAGGCCATTAAAGTCATTCTGACTGTACAATAAATTGGCTGGAGTCAGGACAATATTTATTGTAATCATTTTTCAAGGGAGGCTGAAAGAAATCCCTGAAAATGTTGTTGCTGGGTTTTGTTTTGTTCTGTTTTGTTTTGTTTTTAAAGACGTTTTGTGTTTTCCAAGCAAAACTTGGATGAAGGAAGAATCAAAAAAAAATTGATGACAGTACACCGTGGTGGATGCTGTTATGCAAATTAATTCCTCAAATAGCTGCTAGGGTTGAAATTATTTCTGAAAAAGGCTGCTAATCCTTCAAAATATGGAGAATTACTGAGGAGTGGACAGGGCTGGTGAAGTTCAAACCAGTCAGGGAAACTTCTTTGCGAATCTCCTTGAAACACGAGATGGTTTAAAACACAAACCTTAAGCTTTTTGCACTGAATTTCAAACCAAATAGAACAGCTGTAATTCCTGCAGCCAGAAACAATCACATGAGTTTTACAGCCCAACTACTGCCCTGCACTCCCCAGTCTTAATAACATGTTAGTAAACAAGTGATACGAGAATTCAGATGCAGGTGAGGTATCTTGAATTTGCAAATCATGCCCTTCTTTGCATTCTGGCTCTTTAATAAAGCCTCTGATAAACTTTGAAGTTCTCAGGAACCCCTGACCAAGCCAAACGAGTTTCTGTTCCCAGGGGACCTTCCCAAAGACAGCCCTAATTTCGGGCTGATTTACATGTCTCGGTGGTTGCAAGGAGGGCAAATCCTCAGGACTGATCTCCGTTGTCTGGAATTGCTCGTGGATTTTTATCCCCTTTGCCATTTTTCCCCCTTGGAGAAGAGGCTCCATTTCATTTCTTTGTGCTGCTGGAAAGTCATGGAAAAATCAACTCCAAGTGAGGAAATTACTGACAATTTACAGGCTTTTGGCAATTCTCCAGATGGGTCCACTGGTCTTGAACTCATCAGTGCCAGGCACCGCTGAGGAAATGGATGCTGCAATAAGAGAAGGATTATTGAGGTTGGAAAAGCCCTCCAAGGTCATTAAATCCACCCATCCCCACCTCGTCCCCAGGCCCAGAGTACTCAGTGCCATGTCCAGTCGTTCCTTGGACACCTCCAGGGCTGGAGAGACTGTCTAGGAAAGGAAAGATTCTTGGATGGAACTTCTGCCTGCACAGCTGGGTTGGGCAAAGCTTCATCTGCTGCAAAACTCCTTCTTGAGAGCAAATCTCACCCAGCAAAAGCAACCTATTTATTCAGCTGCTGATAGTTTGAGCTCTGAGATGAGAATGAAAGTGGATTTGTGGATTTTTTTTTTTTTTCTCCAAAGAGATCAGCCCCAGGATTAGAGACCCAGGAAAGGTTGTTTGGGGCTGTAGTTGGGTGAAAATCGTGGGTGTCCAAGGAAGGACACTGAGTGCTCTGGGCTGGGGGACAAGGTGGGAATGGGACACAGGGTGGATTTGGTGACCTTGTAGCTCTTTCCCAACCTCAGGGATCCTGTGAAAAGCTGCTTGAATCCCCTCCCCACCCCCAAAACTCATGGGCTGACTTCCAAAAGCAGCAATTCATGTTTTCCACCAGGATTTGGGTACCAGGCACTGCATTATGCAAATGATGCTTAATCTCCTTTAATGACCCCAAGCAGACCCAGAGAGGGTTTTGAAGGCAGAACAAACCCTCTTGAATGAAGCATTCTGCTGTTCCCAGGAATTAAGCTGGCCCAGAATATTTCAAGATGAAATAATCTTGTGGTCAGATATACATGCCACAAGATAAGGAAGTGAAGGAGTAATAAACACAAATACTGAAGCAAAAAAAAAAAACACCAAACATGTCATCAGTAGTGGCTCATAAATAACTCCATGCACAAAGAGTGGCCCAAGTTGTTGGGCAACTTAAGGCTTGGTATAAAAACCTGAAGCAACTCCAGGCTCTGCCAGACATTTCTCTTGCCTTCTTTGCTGTGAATAAGGTAAGTCTGAAGCCTTTTATTCTCTCTTTATACAATCAACTATTGCCTCGATGGTTCTGTAGCTTTTCCCTGCTCATTTTGTGGCAAATTCAGCTTTTTTTTTTCTCTGAGGGAGGAAGGGGTTTTGATATAAAAAAGTAAGTTTTCATACTTCATATGTTGGTGGGGAGTTATAGTAATAATTAATATGCCAATGAGCCACATTCACCATTTAGGGCTGTTTTTCAGCTTTGGGGTCCAAACAAGTTTTCAGGTCCTGTGGCTGCCCATGAAATATCTCTAGTGAGTTCTTGGGTGTGTTCAGAGCTGTGTGACCAAGTTCCACACAGACCAAGTGTGGAAGGTTCAGGCAGGGACAGAAGATCAGCAGAACAGAATCACAGAACGTGCTGAGCTGGAAGGGACCCGCAAAGACCATCGAGTCCAACTCCTGGCCCTGCAAAGATCCATCCCCAAGAGTCCCACCCTGTGCCCCAGAGGATCATCCAAACCCTCCTGGAGCTCTGGCAGCCTCGGGGCTGTGCCCACTGCCCTGGGGAGCCTGTTCAGTGCCAACCACCCTCTGGGGGAAGAACCTTTCCCTGAGATCCACCCTGAGCCTGCCCTGACACAGCTCCAGCCATTCCCTGGGGGCTGTCCCTGCTCCCCCCAGAGCAGAGCTCAGTCCTGCCCCTCCTCTGCCCCTGCCCAGGAACTGCAGTGAGATCTCCCCTCAGCCTCCTCTTCTCCACCTGAACACACCCAGTGCCCTCACCCGGCTTCAAATTAAGACCCTTC